GAAAAGAAAGGGTAGGAGTAGAGGAAAAAGGAGCGAGGACCCACATCTCTCTTCCAGCCCAGGAGTGACAACTTGCCCGATTGGCCTTTTCCCTGGCAGTCCAAGCTTCGTAGGAAAATAGGACCAACGCTGCGGGGAAGCGGGCTCAGGTTTGCTTCTGGCGAGGCCTGCACAGCTTCTTCCCAACCTCCCTGCGGGTGACCCATGGGTAGGGGGCTGGAGCGACTCCCCAGGAGAAGTCTGTTAAGAGTTTAATTTATGAATTTATTTAAGAAACTATACTTTTGCGCCAAAGATCAGGGGCGGCCAGGGAACGCGAACAAGTGGAAGCGCGCAGGCAGAAGCGGCCTGAGGTCAACCCTAGCCTCACGCCCCCTTCCAGGGTCGCCCAACGCACGACGCCGTCTCCGACCCCGGCACCCGCCTCCGTTCCTGGAGGAGGCGTGGCGGACGCGTGCCGCCATCTTGTTCGTCTCTCTAGGCGCTCTGTTTACTACTCTATGGTCGCCCGCTCCTGCCCCGCCCCTCCCCAGTCATTGTCTGGAGGAGCAGCCGCGGCCGCAGCGCCTTCTCTTTATAAACCCGCAGTGCCCGGATGTGAATGGATTACAATGTATCTTTCAGGGAAACCTATTATTATCAATGTGACTCCACGGGGGAGTCAATGGTGATGATGATGATGAGGAGGAGGATGATGATGAGACACCTCTAAACTTGGAACAAGTTTAAGACTTTATAAGAGGAGAAGAAAAAAAACCCAACCAAGATTTGTTTGAGGAACAATTATAACTATCCTGTGTTGATATTTTTTTATAAACAATAAGAAAAAGTTGTTGGATTTTTTTTTTTTTAATGATTTCTTTTTTGGGGGAGGGAATTTTGTTGCAGTTTTATGGTGGAAAATGCAAAAACCAGACCCAGGTGCATAATCTTATAATTTGTGGATATCCCTGGCGCAGGACTGAGTACCACTTTAAATACTTTTTTGGGGGATACATATATGAGATACTAAGTACTTGCAGAAGATTTTTTGTCTTTTTAAAGTCTCTTTCCTTGGAATATTGTGAGAATATTTGTGGCCATTTAAGGTAACGTTATAATTTGCTGTAAAAGTAAACTGTTTGTAATTGAATTTAATTTTTTAAAAAGAAAATGTCGATCCCGATGTTTTATTAAAAGGAACAGCCTATTAAATAACTGCCACTGGGTAAAAGTGTGTGCATGCATTTTGTGTATGTACTTGCACATCTAGCAATACAGTACCTTGGGTTGCAAAATGTGTTTAACACACGTAGAAATAGCGTATGTTGCATATATTGGGTAAAGCACGCTTGTTATTACGAAAAGATAGAATTACGAAGCTTAATTTTTATCCTAAAAGGTGATGTGAAAAAGTATGTTTTAAGAACATGCTGGGCCTACAGTAGTAAATGTTGAATTACAAACTTAAAAGAGTACTGGCGAACGCGCGGTTAGCGTGCCTGGGAGCTCAAGTGTAAAAACTAAACAACATCCACCCCCCAAAATTGACTTTTTTTTTTTTAAAAAAGCGAAGTTTGGACTATACTCTTCTTTGACTTAAAGGAGGGGGGAAGAAAGTATGCAATTCGGATTTCGCCCTCCACGCAAAACTATCCAAAACAAAAATTTCCCCAGCAAATTGTGGCTTAGTTTATGTATGGAAAAGAAAAACATTATTCCTCTTGGCAAAGTCTTTTTGCATCACGTGTATTTGCAGCCTAGTATAAACTTGCTTTGCCGTGTGTGGATGTGTGAGAGGGAACGCGAGTAAGAAAGAAAGAAGTGAGAGGGGTTGTAAACTCGAATCAATTTGAAAGTGTCTCGGATGGATGAAACGGGCAAAAAACTGAACTGTTCAGGCTTCAGATTGTGACTGACGATCTGAGGGGATAAAATGAGGTGCTCGGTGAATTCTCCTTCGTCTTATACTACTACTACTACTAATTATTATTTTTTGCGAGGCGGGGGAGGCGTTGAGATTTTTCTTGTCCTGGGGGGCGGTGGGGGCAGGACGCATCTCAGCAGCCCGACCCGGAGGAGCCGCGTCTGCCCGCCGGAGCCCCCCCACCCATTTCTTTGCTGAACTTGCAATTCCGTGCGCCTCGGCGTGTTCCCCCTCCCCCCTTCCCTCGTCCCCTCCCCTCCCCGGAGAAGAGAGTTGGTGTTAAGAGTCAGGGATCTTGGCTGTGTGTCTGCGGAGCTGGAGTGACGGCGGCGGCGGCCGGGAAGCAGCGGGCGCGGGCGCCGGAGGAGGAGGAGGAGGTGGAGGAGGAGGAGGTGGAGGAGGTGGTGGCGGTGGAGGCAGTGGTTAGACATGAACGCCGCCTGGGCGCCGGCGGTGC